CTTGAATCCCTGAGTCATGGGAAGAATAAGCTTAGCAACAGCTTCAACACCTACACTGGCACATGATACCCAATAGAAGCCCAGTGGCAGGTGTCAGTGGCTCACACCTGCAATCCTAGCTACTCAGGAGGCTGTGATCTGAGGATCAGGGTTCAAAACCAGGAAAAAGCCAGAAGTGGAGTTGTGGCTCAAAGTTGTAGAGCATTAGCCTTGAGAGAAAAAGTTCAAGAATAGCACTCAGGGTCTGAGTTCAAGCTCCATGACCAATTTAAAAAGAAGTGGAGTTATTAGAGATGAAAAATATGGGTTTACAAAATAAAATTAAAATCATCTAGCCATTAGGGATATTTTTACAAGCAGAAAATGATCAGGATGAGCTGTGTATTAAACCAACATGGGACTTTTAAAAAATGGAATTCCTGAAGGAAGAAAAAGTTTGAAAAGCTCAAATTTCAGCTTAAGTGAGAAGTACAATTAGGATGATTAGAATAAGGCAAAAAAAGAAAACTAAAACAGCTTTCTCGCTCATGTTTATTGTATGTGTACACACATACACAAGAAAAAGGAGGTGGAACTTGTAAGTCTTAACCACTGTGTTTCCACTTGTGGTGAAAACCAGTGTTATTACACCACTCCTCCCCAGATCCTCTCTATTCCTAAGGGTTAGTTAACAATCAACTTCTCTATTCATTTCTTTGGAAAAGAGGAAAAAAATTGAAATGCACATAAACTGACACATGAAAGATTTTGAGTGACAGATTTCATGTTTTCTATATCACAGAAGTGAATCATAAACATTCCCTTGAGGCATTATAAGTCAGTGCTTTTGCACCCTATGCGCCTTATCATCAAAGCTAGCCTCCGGATTCTCTACTGGCTATGACTCAAAAGGCAGATGCACAAGCCCTTGATGGATGTGCAGCAGTAAGAAGAGAGTGCTTGACCACAAGTATGAACCATCTGTGTTTCAAAATTTTCAGGGTGAACTGGCGTTGCTTGTGGAAGGAGCTCCTTTAGAGTAGCTCTCTTGCCACTTCTACCACCCTATTCACTTGGGTCCAGAAGAGTGGTAAACTTGGGAATGGGAACTGAGTATACATGAGTCAGGGCTCTCCAGAGTGATATACCACTAGGATATTATAGATATATTAGATAAAAGATGTGGACATGGAGATACCTAGGAGATCAAATTTATTAGATTTGGCTCACACAATTATGGATATTAAGAAGGCCCACCATCAGTTGTCTGTAACCATGAGAAGCAAGGAAGCCAGAAGCTAGAATTCAAAAGCCAGGAACTGTGCGAGGACCTGGAGTTCTGATGTCCAATGATAAAAGAAGGGTCCCCCCAGCTCTAGAGAGAGCACCTCTCCTCTGCCTTTTTGTTTCTACCTGTAGATTTCATGGTTCCTACCCACACTAAGAATGTATCTTTCTATTGGGTGCTGGTGGCCCATACCTGCAATCCTAGCTACTCAGGAGGCTGAGATCTGAGAATCTCAGTTCAAAGCCAGGCTGGGCAGAAAAATCCAAATGACTTGTTGCCAATTAACCAACAAAATGCCACACTGGAGTCTAAGGGACTGACTAGGAAGAGAATCAAGAAGGACACTGGCACTTACCCGTTGGCAGTTTCCCACATCCTGGATCCTAATCCTATGTGAAGCCTGGCTTCATTGCTAGTCAGATGTGACTAGCTAGTCCAGTGACCTAATGAACAATTCTTATTATTTAACCATTTCAACTAGCAGTACTTTCTGTTTGACTATGGTCAGCTAGAAAAGCTTAAGGAGTGGGGGGGTGGGGGGGAACTGGGTAGGGGGGCAGGGGGAAGATGGGAAGGGATGGGAAGGGGAAACAAAGGAGGAGGCTACAATGCTTGATAAGAAATGTACTCATTATCTTGCCCGTGTAATCGTAACCCCTCTGTACAGTATTTTCACAATAATAAAAAAAAGGAAAGCAGATAGGAAACATAAACCTAAGGAAAGGAGACTGAAAAAACAGAAATTATCTACTTAATGAAGTAATACTTAATGATTCTGAAGAATGTTAGAGACATTTTCTAGAATGTAGAAATGATCATTAGGTGCTGTGGTAAAAAGATTCTTTCTTAACCTTTACAATGATTAAATATGACTAATATCTAAAAACATTTTCAATCTAATAAACTATGACAGACGTGATTTAAATGCCCATATGCAAATCAGAAAATTTTTATTCCCCATTTGTAAAAATACCCATAGCTCAGTGTTTTCCATTTTCACAGGAAAAATACTACTACTGGACAAATGAGATCACTATTGACTTCACTGAAGAAATTGGGGGTGATTTATCAGACTAGCTACAAATAAGGACCAGAATGTCTGAGTCACAAAAATTACTACACTTCCTAGAAACAGTGGCCATGGGATTTTGTCTGGGATTATTTCCAAACATGTGTTAAGCATTATTTGTCTTAGAATTTTGCATAACATCTTCTACTACATGATTACTAAGACATTGGTCAATTATGAGAGTTCTTTGGGCCAAAGTTGTTTTTTTTTCCCTTAAAAGTGACACATTCCTTTAAAATGTAGGGTTTTTAAGTGTAGGTCCTGAAATAAATACTATTTTTTTTTTTTTTTACCATTATTTAAAATTCCATTCCCCTATCCCCAAACCTATATTTAGTGACACTGGGGGGAAAAGACAAGATGTCAGCTGTGATAGCACATTCCTGCAATCCCAACACTTGGGGAAGTTGAGGCAGAAGGATTACAAGTTTGTGGTCAGACTGGGCTACACAGTGAGGACTGTCTCAAAAGAAATAAAAAAAGAGGAACTAAACACATGAACATGGAATGTATGAGATGCAATTAGAAACACATTTTTTTTTTTTTTGTCAGTTGTAGGGCTTGAACTCAGGGCCTGTCCATGAACTTCTTTGTGCTTAAGGCTAGCACTCTACCACTTGAACCACAGCATCACTCCGTTTTTGAATAGTTGATTGGATCCAGATATGCATCGGTGGAGGGGGGGGCACAGGGGTTGGTTGCGGGGGCTTTACTGCTTGGGCTGGCTTTGAACCATGATACTGAGTAGCTAGGATTACAGGCATGAGTCACCAGCACCTAACTTAGAAATATCATTTTTTTAAAAAATGAATGACTCGAGTCTGTACATTTAGTGATTAGTGAATAAATTCCCAAGCATACTTGAAATTAGTTAAGCTTTTGTAAGTAATACACTATTTGCTGTTTTGTCAAAGGTATTTAGGTACTTAGTAATGTAATTCTGTTTCTCCTTCAAGCATAACTGAGAGGTTAAATAATAGAGCCAATTCTGTCCCCTTACGAAGAAAACAAGTCCAGGAGTGTTAACATATGTTAAATTATAAGGAATACATTTAAGTGTAAAAATAGGCCAATTTTAGATAGTTCTAAAGAACACTAACATCCCATAAAATCTTGTAGACACTAATAACAAAAGAAATCCCTGGCCGGGTGCTGATGGCTCACGCCTGTAATCCTAGCTACTCAGGAGGCTGAGATCTGAGGATCGCGGTTCAAAGCCAGCCCGGGCAGGAGAGACCGTGAGACAAGTCCCACGACCGACAAAAAAAAAAAAAAAAAGAAATCCCTGATTGAGTCCTGGGTTGGAGAAAGTTATAGAAGATACTATATAAGGTAACTGAGAAAAATGACTGCCATTATTAGAAATTACTGTACCACTGTCAAATTCTATGGGCATGATAAAGGTATCATTGCTTATAGAGCACTTTAAGGTCAGGTGTCATCTAAAACTTGTAAATGGTTCAGAAAAAGTTATTTTCATTGATACATATAAAGATCACATGGGAGAAAACAATGGCTGACAGTAAGTTGACAATAAATGGAGGGAACACTAGCATCAATGTCCATTATCCTTCCAACTCTTCCTCTAAGTTTTAATAGATGATTTAAGAAAATTGGGAGAATATGCAGTATATGGAAACCCTTATTTAGCAGAGTGGTATTTTCAACCTACTCTATAGCTAAAATGTTTTTTTGTTATGCACTAAATATGATCAACACTTTTCTCTTTAACTTCAACTGGTTCAATTGCTGCTTCATTTTGGATTCCATTCTTACTTTTTAAATGATCCTTTGTCTTAGAACATTTTACTTCAATATGATTTTGTTTCAGGTGATGGTTTATCTCTTAAAAATAAAAATGAGCAACTTACATTATGTTCCTCCAAATATATGACATTAGTCATGAAATTCCTCAAGTAACATGCCAGAGCCCCTCTCAGACAGACAAATAAATAAGGACCACTTCTAAGTTATATGAAATATTTAGTCTCAGAACCTTACACATGTTGTAGAATCTATGGAAAATAGGGCCACCACCTGGGCTGACACTTTGTAACTGACAGCTGTCCGTTATTATTAGTGCACCTGCTATGTCAGTTGGTTCACAGTTGCTATATAAAAACATAGCTTCAGTCAAAATTAGGTCAGTAAATTAAAGCTATCCAACTTGATAAAAGATGCCAAGATTACAATTCAAATCTTCCAACTGTCAATCTTCTTAAACCAGGCAACTTCTATAATTTTCCAAAATAAAAAATTGCATTTCAGTATTGTCTATTTGATTTGCTCCTTCAATAAATGAAAAATCATATAGAAATGCAGTTTAAAGTATGGAAGAAATTTTTTTTTTTTTTTTTTTTGGTCCGGTCGTGGGGCCTGAACTCTGGGCCTGGGCGCTGTCCCTCAGCTCTTCAGCTCAAGGCTAGTGCTCCACCACTTGAGCCACAGCGCCACTTCCGGCTTTTTTTTTTGCTTATGTGGTGCTGAGGAATCAAACCCAAGGCCTCATGCATGCAAGGCAAGCGTTCTACCACTGAGCCACCTTCCCAGCCCTGGAAGAAATTTTTAATGTTAGTTTTTAGTAAAAATTAATAAAATAAATATACTTACCTATTATTACAACTTGAATACATTGTTAGAAATATTTGAAATAAAAAAAAGCAATTCCTTTATCTTTAAGCTTTATTTTATCACTCTTATCAAACACTCACTGGAAAGCATATCAACAGTGCATCTTAAGTCAGTTTACAACAAAACTGAACAAGGCAATTGTGTTTACAGAAAAAAATTTCAGCAAAAAGTACGCAATAAGTCCATTGAAACACAGTATTCATATTTTATAGGTCTATAGGAAAACTGAAAATAAAAGTCCTTTGCTACTCAGAAGAAAAAAGAAATACTAGACTTAATGGAAATCAGAAATTTAGGGATTTGAGAAAAGAACTTCTTGGTACTGACACACATCTATCTACATTTATAGTCCCATTTAGTTAAACAAACAAACAAAAAACTAACTTACAAATTAAGACATCACAAAAAACAGAGAACCACAGTGCCAAGAAATGTCAAGACCAATATGCTATTGACACAACTGGTAGAAATGTTACAGACAGCTATTCGTTGTATATTGTGATATTCTTGTAGTTCTGAGGTGAAGGTAAACCAACAGGAGAGAATACTCCTCTTAACTGGCTTTGGTTTAAGTGATCTTTCACATTTTTAACCGTATCTTCTTATCAAAAACAGCAATCCCATGTTTTCAAGGGAAAATAGTAGCAATGTTTTAATATTCACGACCAATAACTACTCCAGTGCTGACATAGGAGGTCATAAACTTAAGCTTTATGAATCATAATCAGATTTGCAAGAGTGATTAAAAGACAGGAAAAATGGAGCCCTTTTTAGGGAAAAATTCCTTCTACCTCAGATTTGACACTGTCCAAAGGATTATTAAGGAATGTTAAATTACTTAAGATTTTTCAGAAATGAAGTCAGATTGAAAGAGTAAATCCTTCTGGAAAAGATATGAAAGATATGACAGGTTTGTACTTCTGCAAAGTAAGTAATCTACAAAATGAAACTTTCTTTTACTATAATAAATAAACATTACTAAGTTCCATAAGGTGCTGTAACTGTGCAGCTCGTGCATACAAATGTCACCCACTGTATCCAGTGAGCAAAAGGAAACACATACAAGACAGCTGATCCCATTTCTTTCTATCCTTGATGCACATGGATGGTAGTGTACACCAAATACAAAAAAGCTGGGATTTAAATATTTACTTTTAAAAAATTAAGACACATTGAATATGAGTATTTATACTGGTTTCATAAACTCTAATAATTTTCTGGGGGAAATGAGGAATGTGTAGAAAAGGCAATGTTTTTATGCTACAGCTATCAAGTCTGGATTTTTAAAAAATAAATATCATTTTTAGATGATTAACTATATGGAAGATTACTAATAGCAGTAAGAGCCATTTTCTTCCTTCATCTCTCTATTTTTATAATCTTTCTTCTCTTTACTATTAAATTTATCAGTCTTCTGACAACCCATCCTAATAAATAATTCAGATATAGATAATTCAAATAATTATAGAGATTAGTCAATATACGCATGCTTTAGAATACCTCACTACATTTGCTTTTACATACTCAATGTCCTGATATCATGAATATTATTGAGGGGAGATTTTGAGACAAGGCATTTCAAATGTGGGATTTTAAAAAAAGTGACTAAAAGCAATTCTGATAATCAATAGTTTATAGAAGCAAGTAGCTCTGGTTTTTATGTAAGACTTTCCTAAAATGAAAAGAAAAAATAAAAAGGAACAGTTCCAGTTTTTTTTCCCCTGTGAATGACTTATTTTCATTATATAAAGTAGTAAAACAAAATTAGTTCTTTTACAAAACAAAGATTAATGGTCATATAAGGTAAGTAAGAGTGCTTTTCTTTGCCTTTAAAATGTTTAATTCATATACACAGCATTACAAAGAGCCATCAATTTTCTCCATGTTATTGTGGCAGCTACCCAATTTAATGGTAATACTCAGGCAATTATTGGGAAAGTTCCCCTGATTTCCAGTATGCATGGTGCCATAAATGTAACTCATGTTTATGATAATTCTAAAAGGCACAAACTATGCCAACTTAAAATAATAATCCTCATATGTAGTACAAAGAATTAAAAAAGTGCTGAGCTGTAGATGAATAAAATGCAATCACTTTCATGACAAATGAATAAAATGCAATCACTTTCATGATCATTTATAAAATATAGTTTCCTAAATGCTTACTTTATATTTTTGACAGACCATTTTTTCCTATAAAATTACAGAAAAAAATAATTAATGTTGTTTGCCTTCCTAAATGTCCACAGTATTTGCTATAGTATAAATCCATCAGTTATCATATAATTTAAAACAGTGAAAAACACTTGGGAGAGATGGCTAGGATAAAAGCAAGATAAACATAGTGAGTAAAGAATTAAAACAAATCTTTAAAATTCTGGGTATTCTAAAGACATAAAATATGAATGTACCAAAGGAGACTGGTAATCTGGTAACCTTCATAAAATGGAGACACAATGTTTGTATATCCATTGAGAAAGTTAATAACAGTAACTTGAAAAATTACCATCTCAAAATAAAGGTGATTTACAAAGCACCTTGAAAAGAAATGGAAATTCTTTTGGGCTAATTGTGAATAAGAACTGGTCTATATGTGACTATGTTTGACAAAAATAAATTATATTAGACAATGAGAGTGTTAAGATTTGAGAAAGGGACCTCATTTCAAAAAGGGAACATCCAAGGGAGAATTAGATTTACTAGATAACTGAACTTTTCTAACATATATTATATTGGAATAAAATCAAATATGAATAGTCTAAGGAAATTTTGGACTTTTGTATGTTATATTATGTGACTCAATAGCTTTATTCTGAGAAAAAGGCAGAGGTTTAATTACCACTTGGGAGATTTCACCCAAATGAGTTTTAATTTTCCAGGAAACAAAAGGCACTTGCTCAAATCTTTACGCACACATCAGACTAAATATTGTGATGTGATCCCATCTGTACCCTAATCTGAATAAAGCCACCTAGTATGTACTCTTGTATACACCTCGGTAAAATGTATTTTTCTGAGTGTCTTAACTCCCTAACCCTCTTGTTAGAATTACTATCAGTTATTGTGGCGATTTTCATTAATCATAAAAGAAAGCCACACTGAGAAGTACAGCTGATAGAAGAATTAGGTAAGATACACCCAATTTAGGAAGTCAGAAAGTAAGACCTAAGACAAAATGATGCCAAAATGAGTAACCTGCATTTGGTCAATGAACTAAAAAAAAGAGCTATGAAATAGCATCTAAAAAGGTTTTTTTTTTTTTAATTCTGCCTTTAATTCTGATCCTCTTACCAGAACAAAGTCCAGTGTAGGAACAGAAATAAGATTTATGCCTATACTTGTTCTTCAACTTCTTCTACATGGCAGCACTGTTACTAGCAGGTTAACAACCTATCTCAAAACTCTTCAGCATTGGGTACCAAGAGAAAGTTACACACCTCTAAATTAAAATGAAGAACAGGATGAGTAAAACTGTATTTGTGGCTTTTGTTCTTTTATAGCCATAGTTTTGGCTCAAGGTACTGGAAAGGGAATGTCTCTAAAGAGAGATGCTCTGTTGGCCACAAAAGCCAGGAAGACATCCAGTGTTCATAAACGAGATCACTTATTGCAAGGACAGTATTTTTCTTCAATTATTTTAAAATGTAGTCAGCACTTACTTTTAGCTAGTACAATTCATTTCCTTTCTCCTCTAACTATACAGTTTTGCTATCTCTTCCAATTATGCTTTTCAAGAACCCATGTTCCTCTAAAATAATCACTTACTATGCTTTTCCTGGGGCATCATGTGCCATGCACTGCCATGAACAATAAGGAAGAAACTGAGAAGGCCAGAGGGAAGGAAGCACAGAAAGAAAAATCACCTGAGATAAAATTTGCCCCAAAGATTAGGGGTGAAGAGATAAGAACACTTACCTCTTTACCCTGTATCTCAATAAGAAAATTTCTAGGTCTTCAATCATTTCAAAGAATCAAAATTCCTGTGCATACATTTCATACTAAGCGAATCATGAAGATTGTATCTTTTTATATTTGGTTCCAGTTTAGGAAAGATATTAAGATGAAACTTCTTATAATATTAGAGGAGGGTGGGAGGGAATCTGCAAATAACATCTTTGGTAGAATGGGCTAAAAGCTATCAAATGACTTAAATCATAGTAAGCAACTTTCCTCAATTCTGTGGATTTACTATAAAAGTTAATTCAATGCATGGTTATTTAGGCCCATCAATTATTCTCTCACCTCTCTAGTTAGCATCTTCTGTAATAAATTCTACAGTGTTAAACACTACAGTAGGTATGAGTACATCCACAGTAAGGTGGTCAAAGAATACCGTAGGTGCAGCATTAATGTTAGCAGCATACTACACTACTAAGCTTAAAAGCCTACCTGCAATTTCTTTGTAAAGATTTCTCTTCTTGGTTAAGGGTAGGGGAAAGAAGTACATGTGTTAACCTAAAATACTTGCCCTCAAAAGAAATTTATTTGTACTGTGTTCATCAGTAGGTCTATAAGGAAGGAACTCTTCTTGCTAGTTACTGTAGAAATAGCTAGCCATACAAACACTGATGTTTTAGAAAACCTCAGGTCTTCACAGTACCAGTTCTATTTATGTCCTCTGATTCTGACTTGAAAGTCAACCAACCAAATCCACTCCTGAAAGGGCCAAAATAAAAAATAATGGTTCTTCTAAGGGCTCATATTGAGAACATTGCAACAAGATCTTTTGCTAATTCACAAATCAGCCCCCTTATATCAAATTTGGCTTCATAATAAATACTAAAGGAGAATCCTGAATAATTTGATTACTACAACTAAATGTCAGTGATTGTTTGAACATGGTAAAACAATTCTCGAAAATTAAAATTAAGACTCAGTAACTTGCATGATACATGCAAGGGAAGACTACATGAGTAAGCTTTCAGCAGCAAATTTTCATTCAGGTAAGGAAACAGGAAAAAAATCATGATTGATTGTGAACTGTATACAACTTACCGTATTTTTTGTATAATCAGTGCTTCATAAAGGATTCCTAATTTTATATATCTTTAAAGGCAGTTTACCATAAACTGAAAAAAATCCGCAATTATAATTCTTAAAAAGTACTTAATGAAGTTGATTAAAACCTGTGCCTTCACACACTATACTGGCATTGTCTATTCAGGAACACATTTATTGTTATGAATCCTTTAACCCAGTTTTTCTTCTTTCTTTCTATCCTACCTTATTATATCTGTACCTTTCTTTACTTCCTACAGTCAAAGGCAGATGACCTGGGATGCTGTTCCTCTACTGTTTCTTCAGCTAATGACAGAGGCAAAGCATTGGAGGAGAAAACAAGAGTACAGGGGAGGCAGATAAGAGGCAGAATAGAAGAAAAATAGGATCCTTAATTATCCACTTTGCATTTTTTTCTTTTCCCTTCACTGTCCATCCAATTTCCTTTTTAATCCACACTGCAATTTTTTTTATCAGAGTAAGTAGAATCATATCTTGAGAGATCTTACAATTACAGAAGATTCAAGACAAAAATAGATAAGCCAATCCAGAGACTAGACTGAAGGATAGAGTAATTTATATGTACCACTTTTTGTTTTTTTTTCAATTACTTAAAGAGTTTCAATATAACCCTGGTCTAGACTCCAATTTATTTGAAGTCTCTTAGGAATGAACTATTTTGTCATTTACATTCTATCAGTCAGACCAACCATCAAAGGAAAAAAAAAACACCAATATTCTAAATATTATAGCTATGGAACGGGTAGGAAGGAGATGGGTGTAGACTGTATTAGCTCACAAGATTCACACTATAAACAACACTGACTCAAATTTTCTCTAATCTTTCACACTTGCATACCCACTCAAGCATACATACTAGACATAAAAATTGTGCAAGATCAAGCATCAGCTTTCTATTTAAAAAGCCTTAATAATAATTTAAAAAATGTTGATAGGCTCACTGCAGTTTCTTTAAAGGAATATTAAGTACTACAGTACTCCCTTAAAAAAATTCATAACTCAGTGTTAGGAACACAGTGGGTAACTGCTGCTTGACAATTACTTAACATTATTGGGAGCATTCAGTGCCAGCTATGGATATCAACAATAAGACCACCTGACAACATAAAGGAATAATCTGTGATGTCACCAACCCTAATGAATTTAATATTCACTATGATATCTAACTGATCCTTGCTTCATGATCATATGAAATAATTAATAACTCTTTAGGTTACATAATGAAGAGCAGCACCTGCCCTACTGCACGAGAAGAGGTTTCTCACATGGATGCTCTAGAACCCCTCCATGGATAGCTGAAAGGTCTTGTCCTACTCAGTGCCAAACGTTTGCAATGCAGTCACTGCTTTGACACTGGCTGCACACTGGAAGGATTAAATAAATGTACAAGTACCCCCTCTTAAAATTGCAAAGGGATGCTCCTGCATTCAGGTGTAGAATACAATAATCCAGGAAATGGAAGAGGAGAAACAGGAAAGTCTTAGGTTACTGATTAAAGCAAGGTTTGATACAGATATCCCCTCTTGTAGGCACTCAGCGGGTAGAATGTAGCCACAACAAACTTCCCATCAAACATCCTTCCAGTCAGCAACTTCTGAGCAGCTTTGGAATCACCAGCATTTGCATACTCAACAAAGACCTAAAAGAAGATAAAGAGGGTGAAGTCATATCATTTCCAAAGTGATTGTTTTGCAGCCGAGCCATGTGCCATGCAACCATGTTTTGGTAGATGAAGGACCATATAAGCCACAGTTGGGCTAAGACTATAATAGAGCTGAGAATTTTGCATTGCCCCGTATTTTTTGGTTATCACAAGTGGGCATGGGAGAAGAATTTAGTGGGCAAAAAGGAGGGATAGGCTGCTAATCAACTTATACAGAGCAGCACTGTCAACAAAGACTTATGAGACTGAAATATTAATGACGGTAAGACTACAAAAGCTGAAACACACAATATTCTGTTTCTCAAAAAATAAAAGTACTAGACATAAGATTTTGAGCTCTTCCTTATATAATTTAGAATTGCAGTTATTTAATGAAAATGCTACAATTATATTTCAGTCCATTACATTTTGTAGATGAGAGTGAGGATCATCAAACCCTAGTCACATTGAGACTAAAATTCAGGTCCTGTGGTACTGAATCGAGCACATATCCTTTCTTTAATTATTGCTAGGTGATCATAGGCTCACAACGTAGCTACTCAAGAAATTAAGATATAAGATCAAGGTCTGGAGCCAGCCTGGGCAGACAAATCTGAGAGATTCTTATCTGATTAACCATCAAATCTTGGTGAGGCTCAAGTGGTGAAGTGCCAGCCATGGCAGAAAAAAAACAACTGAGAGCATGAAGCCAAGAGTTCAAGCCACAGTAATCAATCAATAAATCAATAAATCTCTCTCTCTCTCTCTCTCTCTCTCTCTCTCTCACACACACACACACACACACACACACACACACACACACACACACACACACACACGAAACTAACCCAATTGGTTTTGGTTTTCTATTCTAGTTTGAATAAACTGAATATTTCTCTAGCTGAACCTGACCTAAATTAACTAATGTTTTAATGAGTGACATTATTTTACAATGGTTCAAAAATAAATGAATTCTTTAAAACAACAACAACAAAAATAAGTATTAAGTGACTGACAGAGCAAACATACTGTAGAATTTTAGGAAAAATAAAAATCATCCACAACATGAAATTCTCTATTCTCAGCAAAATGTTTGTGTACAATTTCCTACCAGACACGTCGTAATAACCTCTATCTAAAATAATCACTTACTTGTCCTCTGCCAGGATTTTCCTTTGGAACAAGCAGAGATACCACTGGTCCATATTTCTGACATTCTTCTTTCACATCTTCTACAACATCTGCTTATTAAAACATACAATAGGAACTGCTCAGATATAACCAATAATTCATTACTCAAAAAATTTTTTTTTGTCAGTCGTAGGGCTTGAACTCTGGGCTTGGGCTGTCTTCTGAGCTCCTCAGCTCAAGGCTAGCAGCACTCTACCACTTGAGTCAGAGTCACTTCCCATTACTCAAAACTTTAAACCATCAAATAGTATACTAGGGAGTACCCAGGCCCCAAGTTCAAACACCAGGACCAGCAAAAAAGATAAAGAAAAAACAATATTGTGTATACACTTAACGTGCATATTTCTCAGTTGATACTAATAAACTGCTGGGTCAAAACTAACATGAATTAGTAACTTCATCTAAATTATTTCTCCAGTGATGCATGAGAGAGAGTATCTGCTTTCCTGTATCCTATATCAGATGTCCTCTTCATATCAATGTGAGGGGTGATAAACCCTACAGTTTAATTGGTAGCCCTTCTCCCTAAAATAAACATTATCAAGTGCTGGTGTAGTGGCATATTTTCTTTCATATAGGCTATATTTCACCTTTACTATCTCTTGGCATAAAATCCAAATTCTTAAAATAGCGATCAAGTCTGTAAATTACATGTATACCTTGACTACCTCATTGGCTTTAACCAATTGCTTTCCAACAGATACCATAAGATATAGTTATACCAACTTGCTGTTCTCTGAACATGCTGCACTGTCTCCATGTTCTTTTATTTCCTCCCTAATCTCTCAAATTTTAGCTAAACAACTAATTTCTGGGCTCACATTATACCCTATGCAGCAAAGCCCCTACTGATCACTCAGATCAGGTTTAGTTCCTATTCTCTCTGCCCCTTAGATTACCACTCTCTATATTATCACAACTGTAATTATGCCTTTCTTGTGCTAAAAACAGGAAACAATCCCATGATGACACATAGCAATATGTCTTGGATAAATAAATGAGTTGTTAAAAATACAAAGCTAAAGGAACAAATAGAAAAGCACAGCAAACGGCTAGAAAAGACAAACCAAAGAGATAGAAATTGCTGGGGAGATTATGTCTTCTTTGTTTGGTAAAATGAGATGTACAAGATTTAAAAGGATTTTATGAATCAAACAGTGTTTTAGAGTCAGGCGCTAGTGTCTTGCCTGTAATCCTAGCTATTAAGGGGACTGAGACCTAGAGGCTTACAATTTGAAGCCAACCCAGTAGAAACTCTAGAAGACCTCATCTCCAATGAGCCAGTAAAAGCTGAGCTGAAAGTATGGTTCAACTGGTACAGGCCAGCCAGGAGCAAGAAAGCTGAGCAAGAGCTTAAGGACCTGAATTCAAGCCCTGGTACTGGTACCCATACCCACAGGCATGAATACACATATATCACTCACTGACCTCATTTAACTTTCCTATAAATTAGATAAAACAAAAGAATGTTAGAGTACATCCATATGTTCTAGAGTAATTAAGAAAAACACACTAAAATATAATTAGGAAGCACTGACCTTCATATTCCTCTTCATTTTCAAGATAATCATCATCCAGCACATTCAGCAATCTTAGCACTGGAGTAGGGAGCATCACCAGATCTTCAATATGAGGGGCTATTAAAAGTCATTATAATATGGTTAAATGCAAACCCTCCCAGATAAAATTATAAATATCAAACAAAAGGGCCTTGGAATATAATTTCTAAGATAGCAAATGACCAGGAAAAGTAGTAAGACATACACAACTTACCAAAAGGAATGCTAAAGAATGGACTGCACAATGCCATTTCAGCAGGAATCCTTCTGCTTGGATCATCATGAAGCATGCTAAAACAGAGAAAAAGTACCTTTAGAATTACTGTCAAATAGTCTGAAAATGCAATTAGTAAAGATAAAACTCTCTGTGTTCATCATTGCATTAACTATTAACATAGGTTACTGAACCATTCACTATAAACAAAATAAACATGGGCCAGATGCAGTGGCTCATACTGTGATTCCAGCTATTCTAGAAGCAGAGATGGGAGGAGCATCATGGTTCAAGGCCATGCCAAATAAATATAGCAAGATGCCCATGTCAACAAACTACTGGCTCCTGGCAATGTTTTTGAATTAGTGATACATTAAAAAGTGATCCAAAAAAGGCAGACAAGCTGGGCACTGGTGGTTTATGCCTGTTACGTTAGCTACTCAGGAATCTGAGATCTGAGGATCACAGTTCAAAACCAGTATGAACAGGAAAGTTCATGAGACTCTTATCTTCAGTTAAACAACAAAAAAGCCACAAGTGTGGAACCACATGTGGCTCAAGTGTAGAATGCTAGCTTTGAGTTAACAACAACAACAAAAACAACAACAAAGAAAACAACTCAGGGACAGCGCCCAGGCCTGAATTCAAGACACACACACACATGCGCGCACACACACACACACACACAAACATCTAGACAAAGATTTGGAGTGATAGTTAAATTTAAGAAATATTATTTAAAAAATGAGTAAATAGCTGGGCACCAGTAGCTCATGCCTATAATCCTAGCTATTCAGGAGGCTGAGATCCGGGGATCGTGGTTCAAAGCCAGCCCAGGAAGTAAAGTCCATAAGACTCTTATCTCCAATTAACCACCAGAAAACTGGAAGTGGTACTGTGGCTCAAGTGGTAGAGTGCTCACCTTGAGCTGTAGAGCGGAGGGACAGCACCCAGGCCCAGAGTTCAAACCCCACGACAGTCAGACAGACAGACAGACAGACAGACAAAGACACAGACACACACACACACACACACACACACACACACACACAGCGCGCGTGCACCAATGAGTAAAAAGAAAAGCAAGTGGTAGGAAAACTGAATTGTGACAATTTCCCTTAATTATAAAGCAACTAGATGTAAAACCAAACACAGATAACATCAAGAGCAAAACTATAAGAACAAAATACATCAATGGCAGTAGGGCTTGCATGTTTCAGAATCTATAGGTAAGAAAACCGAGAAGGGCTGGGAATGTGGCTTAGTGGTAGAGTGCTTGCCTTGCATGCATAAAGCCCTGGGTTCGATTCCTCAGTACCACATAAGCAGAAAAAGTCAGAAGTAGCACTGTGGCTCAAGTGGTAGAGCTCTAGCCTTGAGCACAGACAGGCTCAGGGACAGTGCTCAGGCCCTGAGTTGAAGCCCCCGGACAGGAAAAACAAAAACAAAAAAAGCGCTGAGAAAAACAAGAGTATACCTAACAAACCATGTAAAATAATCCAAAATAGCCAACAGATAACTCTTGAAAGCACAGCAGACTACTATGAAGAAAAACAGCTAATATTACAAGGGCTTATCCATTTTAAAACCAGGTGAATAAAAGGGATCTTCTAAAATTTACAGAAGTTGGCGTAATCGAGGCAGTAGTCCTCTTCAAACTAGTCTGTCAGAGTATTCACCCAAGGCAAAATCCCACCAGTGAGAAAAAATCTTGGGAACAGAATCCAAGTTGAGGAAAAAAACAAAACCAAAGAGAACAAAATGCCAGGTCTGGGGGGTGAGGCGGGGGTGCTTAGGAAGGGAAAGTTTTATTTTGCTTTGTGAGAGAGTTTTGCAAGCTAGTCTCAGATTTGAGATCCTCCCTCTTCAATACTGGGATTACAAGCCATGTCCTATCATGCCTAGTTTTTTTTTTTTAACAATACATAAAAACAACAAGAGTGTAAAACTAGAAAAACTAAACTAATTTGACCACGTCTAAGTTTCAGATAAAGTAACAGAAAAAGATTAAAACAACAAAAAAAAAATCACAAAATATCTCAATGACTTGCTTGCTAAAAATTTATAAATGAACAGAGATGGCCATCATAAACGATTTCAAAATAAAAGATTTTTTTAAAAGAATATTTGAGACAACAACATAAACTCAAATTAGAAAATCCCCCAGACTCATTAATTAAGAATTAGAAAATTTACGAGGGTGAATAAAATGTTAATAAAAAATAAAAATAATTAGAAACCAAAAAGGATTTCACAAAATAAGATTGGAAATGAAAGGATGTGGTTCTAGGGGTCAGGTCCAAGGCCTTGCTCAAATTAGGCCTGTGCTCTACCGCTGAGTTACATCCTGAACTCTTAAGTTTTTGAGGCAGGGTAACTATGTAACCCAGGCTGGCTTGGACTTAATTCTCCTGCTTCAGTCTCCTAAATGCTGGGATTACAAGAATCTGCTACCACACTGGATTTTATCTTTTTAGACACTTTTACTTGTATTGCATTTTTTTTTCTTATACTTAATACTGATACTTTTCTTGACTAGGTCATAGCTTTCTTCTCTTCTCCTCTTTTCTTCTTCTCCTGATAGTACTAAGATATGAACTTAAGGTAACTCACTTGCTAGACAAGAACTCATCTAGTTGAACCACACACCTAGTGCTTTTTGCTTTATTTTTTTGTAAAGAGTCTTGTGGGATTTAAAAAAATTGTATTGTTATTATGATGTACAGAGGGTTTAGAGTTACATAAGTCAGGTAATATCAGGGAAAGAATACATTTTTTTTTTTGGGCAATGTCACCCCTCCTTCCCTTGTCCTTTCCCAGTTTTTCCCTCCTATCCCCACCTACAAGTAGGTATTGTGTCTATTACCCAAAGCCAAAATCAAACCACAATCTTTGGGCAGCTGGAATATACTTGTGAATCATCATGCCTAGCATGTTCTTTGAGATAAGGTCTCACTAACTTTTCACTTAGACTGAGCTCAAACCAGTATACATACTCTCCTATCTGCCTCTCAAGTAGCTGGGATTAATAAGGTTTTCTTTCGCCTAGGTTTTCTTTTGGTTTTTATTGCTGTTGTTGTTTTAAGTTTCTCCTTTCTACCTTCTATGTATCTGTATTACCAGTGCTCAGAGGTAGAGAGAGGTAAATGGATAACAAGTTTAAGGACAACCTGGCCTACACAGTAAGGCCCTATCTCATAAAATGAACTGAAATGAAATAGCTTTCTCAAACAAAACAAATGATTTGCAAGTGAAATGCATACCATGTTTCTGAGAAAACAGAAACTATCAAAATCAAGATACATTTTGATAAAATTGCTAGACTTTGAAGAAAAGGTTTCTACATTTAGACAAAAACCAAGTGACTTGTAATGAAAAGACAATTTTGAGCAACACTCAATGTCAGAAGAAAACAGAATAACTTGCTTCAGATATTTAAGGAAAGAAAAATGTATGCCAAAGAATTGTAAAGGGAGCTAAAAATACTTTCAAGTACAACAAGCACAATCATTAACAAACAAAAACTTAAGAAAAATTAGCATTTCCTTGAGAAGATTAAGGATAGTACAAAAGGTAGAGACAGAACTAAGTAATAAACAGTAACTATACAGCTACAGGCAGAACCAAGACTAAACGAAAGGTAATTAAAGCAGACTATGTACAATATATAATAGCTACATAAAATGATAGAACTACAATTATTTCAAAATAAGAGAATGGCTAGATGCAAAAATAATTATTTGATGCAATCGTATTAAGAATACTATTACTTTGAGATTATTTTATGTGTAATATGGAATAAAGCCAATTAATAATACAAAATTCTAGAATCCTGGCATCTCCTTTGTCCTTAAGAACCATGTGTGGAATTATAATGTGCAAAAGAGAAATATAAAATAAAAATATAAAAATAAAAGCAAAAACTCTGTGGTCTTGACTTCCAATTGGAAATATCAGTAAAAACTCTATCCATTTAAAAGGCCTAGTAATAATGGCCATACCAGCAGCAATGAGTGGTTTTAAAATCCCACTATAGGGCTGGGAAGGTGGCCCAGTGGTAGAGCGCTTGCTTTGCATGCCTGAAGCCCTGAGTTCGCTTCCTCAGCACCACATAAGCAAAAAGAAAAAAGCCGGAAATGGCGCTGTGGCTCAAGTGGTAGAGTGCTAGCCTTGAGCTGAAGAGCTGAGGGAGGGACAGCACCCAGGCCCCACGACTGGACCCCAATAAATAAATAAATAAACAAATAAATAAATAAATGACATCCCACTAAATGTATAAATGTCTAAGATGAACTGGGAAAACTTGAAAAACACACAGTAAAGAAGTTCTCTATACCTTCCAAAACCCACATTCAGAGGTCCTTCCATTCAGAAAAGATGTAATGATTCTGGTTTCAAACAGGATAATAATGGCAGTGGATTGAAATACATCAAACATGTTTAAATCCCTTAGCTTATAATGATATGTTAAATTATAGAAAAGAGAATGAACATCTTTGGAAGATGACAAGGAATCACACTTCATTAGCTTAAAAATTAGCAAAAAAAAAAAAAAAATCAAGTATTTATTTTGATAGAAGAAAGGACCTCTAGATACAAAAAGAAAAGCAAAAACTCTTCAGTTAATCAAATGAAGAACAAATAACTGAAGATTACGGCCTTACTATAATCCTTACAAAGCACTGCATTTCAGTACTGAGTAACAACAGCCGGTAACTCAGACTACAGATAAACACATCATGTGCCATCTAATGGAAAAACACAATTCCATCTTTAGGCTTACAACCAGAAAAACATTCTAACTCTTTGGATATAACTATCATTTTAAAAGAGCTAAATGGAAATATGTGAAATTACTCTGATCCAATCAACAAACTTTGGCCTGTGGAAAAATTTTCCTAAGTCAACAACCCAGGTTATACAACAGGTAAATTACAAAGGGAAAAAGGGAAGAGATAGAAAAGGATCTTTTAAAAACAGACATAAATACATTTCTTTAGAAGAGAAAAACTAAACAACAATTTAAGGATGCATGCTTGGGTAGTGAAACTACAATTATTGAAATCAGCACAGTGGTTAATTTTGGGGAGAAAGTAGGGGTTTAAAAGCTTGGGATGGGATGCAGCTAAAACATCTAGGATAGTTGGCAGTTTGATTGCTTGATTTCAAGAGAAGCTACAATCTTCCTAAGGACTCAACACACAGCACATTCGTTTTACTAGCACGTTCAGTAGCTATGTTTTATATGTCAATAGAGTTCAATTTTCATATACACACAATATGCAGAAAAATATCTTAAGGAAATACACCAAAATACTTTGTTTTTAATCTTCTCATCACAATTTTTCAGTAGCTGTTTAGCACTATTTGTATTATGGGAGAGAGAAGCTTTTATTACACACACACACACACACACAGGAGAGAGCAGCTATTACACACACACACACACACACACACACACACACACACACACACACACACACACACACACACACACACACACACACACACACACTGATATACCTGGACGAAAAAACCAAAAGAAAAACAACAAACTCAGTAACAGGACTTAAATGATTTGACTTCCAGGCTAAAATTCATTATGTAAGTTTACACTACACTACCATCTCTTCAATGAGAAAATGCAACTTGTAATATCTGCTACTAACAGTAATTTCAAATATATTTGAAAAAAAAGAAAAAAGAAAAACATATACACTAATCAGTATGTGAAACTGGTAAGATTCAAATAAACTTTATGGATTATACCAACGTCAACTTACTAGTTTAGGTATTCTATGAGGCTACCACGGAGAGAAAGTAGGTGAAGTTTGGACCTCTTTTTAACACTTTATATGTCCTATGATTATTAATCAGTTATAGGATCAATACACAAAGAAACTGTAAAGAAAAGACTGACTCTTTCTTTGCTGGCATAATATCTTACTCATTTCTAGAGCATATTGATAAGACACCTGCCAATCCTTTGACAACACATTTTTAAAAATACACAATCTTGTTTTGATGTATTCAAGTATTAGAAACAATATTCATTCCAGAGTTTGATGGAGTATTCATTTAAAATTTAATTAAAACTTATTTTCATCAAATGGATTGTTTGTTCAGGCTGTAAAAAACTGTTTAAAAAGTTATTTTCCATCTAAAACTGGGCCTGGGGAATAAGCCTGTAATCCCAGCATTGGGGAAGCTGAGGCGGGACGATCAGGAGTGCAAGGCCACTGCAGGTTACATGGCAAGACTAAAAAACAAAGAGATGTGCTTTGGAACTCATAATGAACAAAGGAGCAGTCCTGAAGGTAAGTTTTGTAAAAGAAAATACATATGTTTATGAGAAGCAAATATTCAAGCTAGCTTATATAGGTTATCAAAACTAAAACTCCTATTTAAATAAAATAAAATATCTACATGATCAAGCATATCAGAAATAACAACATATAAATATTCAGGAAAAACTCCCTCAGGTATTAAGTATATGTAAAGCAAGTAACAGCATGTGTAATATAATATACCTTTTGATAAGGTCTCGTAAGTGATAGGCTGGAATTGCAGCATTCACCACTGCTTTACTAGCAAATATATGATCAATAATAGCAGAACTGTTTGCCTAAAAAGGGGAAGAAAATTGTCTTAGGTTATTCAATTCCATTTGGTAAATGAATGAATAAAAGCAAAGTAACAACATTAAGATTCAGTTTAGTGTAAAATGAGAAAAAAAAATGTAAGAGTTGATGCCTCATCATGAGTCTTCAATTGGTTTTTTCAGACAAAAAAAGCAATCCACACTCACTGAGAAAATGATAAGTATTAAAACATTGTATGTGTCCCATTATTCAGTCTAAAGGTTCATGGTTTACATTTCCTCCTTGAATTTTCTGCTAACTCTGTATGTAGAATTGTATCCATAAGTAAAATATGTGACACCATCATTATCACTAAAATGTATTACATACTTATCATGGTAAAAACTCAGTATCATTACTTTTTTAATCTTGATATTCTCTAAATATATATTATCATAATCATCTCTTTACAGAAAGTAAAATACAACTTAATGAACCCAAGTAAGTAGCTTAGCAGGGAGTGCAAATAAGATATGCATCTAGTAGTTGATTTCAGAGTCCCTGCTCATACATGTTTGGCAAATTTGCCTCTGTAGGAAGTGATAAAACAAAGTAACGATGTTTTAACTAGAAAGTCATATATTCAGGGCTCCATTAGTACATGTCACACCTCCCAAGTCCACACAAAATTGAATGTTACCTGCGTCTGATGAGATGTGGGACAAGCAGATACAGTCCAAAGAATTTAAAGATTGTGGGAACAGGGTGAACTAATCCAGCAGTGATACTCACTAGACACTATGTTGGAAATGGACTATACAACTTGGGAGGGAGAGGAATTAGGAGGGGAAAAAACTGGGAGAAAATGAGGAAGGGGTGACACTGTTCAAAAAGAAATGTACTCATCTGACTTATGCAACTGTCATCCCTCGTACATCATTTTTATAATAAAAATGAAAAAAGGGCATTAAGAACAAAATAAGAAAAAAAGAATTTAAAGATAGTAAAAAGCTAAATGATTGACCCATATATGAAAAAAAGAATTTAAAGACAGTAAAAAGCTAAATGATTGACCCATATTTGAAAAAAAGAATTTAAAGATAGTAAAAAGCTAAATGATTGACCCATATTTGAAAAAAAGAATTTAAAGACAGTAAAAAGCTAAATGATTGACCCATTTTTGGATTACCACTAAAGAAGAATATTTAAGCCTCATTTGGAAGTCCCAATGATAAAAAAATAAAAAAAAAGTAAAAAAGGGCCAGCATAGCTTGTGTAAAGCCTGGAATCCTAGCTATCTGGGAGGAAGAGATGGTCATTAAATGCTATCTGAAAAATCAAACTAAATGCAAAGAAAACTACTAGGATAGCTGAGCATAGTAGAGGGCTGACCTAGCAAGAACAAGGCCCTGAGTTCAATCCCTGCCAAGATAGCAAAAAGATACTGTGAAGGCAGCATTTTTTGGCAAATAATAAACTTTAGGTATATATTAGCATGTTTTTCCTGGGAACTGTTACACCAGAAATCACAATCTAGGAGTTTAAGAGCTAAAACTCTATACAAGCCAGGTGCTGGTGGCTCATGCCTGTAATCCCAGCTTCTCAGGAGGCTGAGATCAGAGGACTGTGTTTCAAAGCCAACCCAGGCAAGTAAGTCCATGAGACTCATATCTCTAATTATTACATATTATAATTATAATTAAGTATATTATCTCCATGAAGTATTATGAAAAGATGATCAATTTTACCAGAAACTTCTGATTCCATTAATTCCTTAGAATCTAATGTAACTAAACAAAGGAAGTCCCTTTTGCTTCTTTGAGAAAATTCATTTGAACATTGTGTTAAATGCTTATTATATGCCAGGACCCAGGCTAGAAACAATGAGACTGCAATGGCATTAGATTATAGTATGGGTATAAGCAGTGGCATTCAACTTAGAATAAGTACAGAAAAAATATGAAGGAGAGGATGCAACTGAATTCTCTGACATAAATCATCACAAATGAAATACAATGCTTTTAAATTTATTGAAGACAGTGAAACACTAGTGCAGTTTACCTTCCATTCCTGAGATCGGACTGTATGTTTCAGTTTCATTCCTGAGAACATTTCCAGTAAAATGATTCCTAGGCTCCACAGATCAACAGCTGAGGTACATTCTGTATCACTCTGCAGGCCAGCTTGGGCCAAGCAATTTTGAAGTTCTGCTTCTGGAGCCCGATACCCGTCTGTCTGAATATACTTTACATCCTAAAGAAGATAAGTAAGTATTATAATCCATAAAAAAGAAACTCACTTTCCATCTCTTCTAACAAGGTAGTAAGTCATTTCCAAAAGGAATGTCAAAAGTTTTTAGTCCTTGGTTATCCTAATTCTTGTGTTCTTTAACTGGGCAATTCTCACGGGCAACCTGTACAGTGTCTGTATGGTCACTTATAAACAAGTCTTCAGATGGTTCCTTACCTATCATGTACTGATGATAAAAGAAAAAAAAAAGGAGGGATACTGCAAAGAGTTGATAAGGCACAGGAAATGAAGGATTTACCTGAATTGCTACATACATTCTGCCATGAAAAAGAACCCCAACACTGAAGACATTAAGAACTATAACTCAACAAATAAACCAAATACTCATAGAATTTAAAAAGCATTTTATGTAGGCTAAGTACTGAGTTCAGACTTTTCTTATGCCCTACTAGCACTCCTTACCTGACCAAAACAAATGCCATTTTTCAGAGTAACACTGAAATTCTTTTTGATTTTGATCCTTTTTTATTCATTATTCTAGATAGAACAGCTCTTTCATCCTTACTGTTTGATAATATTTGGCTTATTCCACCAGATTTTAAACATAAATGGAAAGAAAAGGTACTTCTTACCTGATTACCTTCTTTGAAGCTTAGTCCAAAGTCAATGAGTTTAAAACATTCATTCTCTGCACTCCACAAAATATTACGTGGTTTGAGGTCTGCATGGACATAGCCTTCATGATGAAGAAAAGCAAGGGCTTCCAGAACATCTCTGGCACAATGCTGTATCATCCACATTGAACAACCCTGGTGACTGGAATATAAAAGCAATTCCGATACACTCACATCCAGGAGTTCAAGCAACAGACACCGTGATGGCACATTCGGAGAGAAGTGAATTGTAAAGACTCCATATAAAGTCACTAGAAAAAGAAATGAATTATATTCCTGTAAAAATCAGAGTATATAACTATAATATATAAAACCAGGGTAAATAACTATAATAAAAATTTAAGATAGTCTTAACTGAGGATAACTGATAAGGAGGCAAATGCCCAGTATTTTTCCTCATGTGTAAGATCCTTGGAGAACTGGGTTATTCTAATAGAACGAGGCAATCCTCAACAGCTTCGAAGATATTAAACAAGGCACAATGACTTCAACTGTTTCACCAAACATTAAATGGTGAGTGAATTTTCATTTAAGTGACCAGTAAAAAACTAAAAGTCCTAATTTAAGTTACTGTTAAAAAATTGAAGATTGCTTTTTGACCCAAAATAGTATTTTACGTCATGAATATTAATAGAAGAAATTAAGACTTTTCAGATATTGTAGCATGATCTTGAAATTCAACAAGTCCTGAGGACTGCAAAATGTTTCTCTTCAATACCAAGTTTATGGTGACACATCATTTAGCAAGCTACAAAGAGAAATGCTAGTGTTAAGGAATTCCCTAACATGGTGTTATAAAAAAAAGGTTATTCTTCAAATTAAATATAAATTATACTTGCCAGAAAGGAGCAAGCCATTGTATATTATTTACAACCAAAGTTACAACGAATTATAAGCTTTCTGATGGTGTAAATGGCAAGACTATTTTCACAGATCATCAGTGATCATTGTATATCATGCATTTCTGAGTATCTGAGTCATGGAAACAAGCTTTCTACATCAAAAGCAGCCTGCCTAAATTTCACACTTCTAGGAAGACTCCTATGTAAGATCGACTCATTTCCTCAAAAATCCACACTACATGTCACCAGTTGTCACCTATGTGAGTTACCAGCATTGATTTCACCAGCCTAGACGAGTTCCCATTTTCTACTGGTCGGCAAAGGCATGACAATGTTCACTAGAGACGTAGCCCTCTACCAAAGGCAGGTCCCCTTTCACTACGGAAAGGTATCTCTATGCAAATGCGCGTAGCCGCTTAAGAGGTCATGTGACAATGACAAACCGGACCACCAACTCCGGGGGACCGGATTAGAGTGAACGGAAGATGGGAAAGGGGGCCTGCGGCCGCGGCTAGGCAGGACGTGAGGCCCGGGGGGAGGCTGGCTCGGACCCGGACCCGGACCCCAAGCGAGAAGGAGGGCAGCGGCCATTACCGATGTTCCTGTGCCCCTGCAGCTGCTCCAGAGCCGCCCTCTCTTTGCGGAAGCCGTACTCGGCAGCCGAGGCGGCGGCCCCGGTAGTCCCGGGAGGCAGGAACTGCTTGAGGGCGCCGGGGGGCGAGCCCGGGGTGCCACAGCAGCGCACCCGGTACACGGAGGCCGAGGAGCCGCTCCCCAGGCGGCTCTGTACCTGCCACAGCCGCCCGAAGGCCTCCAGGAAGCGCGGCGGCTCGGCGCCCCACGCACAGCCGGACCCCGCCATCGCCGCGGGCTGAGGGCGCTGGCTGACACGGCAGTGGACCGCACGCCTGGGGCAGGCCGACCGGGCCCGCCGTCACATCCCCGCGCGCCCGACCCGCGGCTCCGCAGGGAGGGGCCTGCAGCCGCCGCACCGACTCCCTCCGGGGACCTCAGGCTGCCATGACAGCGGAAACCGTCCTGCATCCGGGGGTCCGTGAGGCCGGAAGTGGAGGAAGAAGAGCCAACCAGCCCGGCAGGCCGAAGGAGGCGGGCCCAGGAAGGGCGGGGCCTCGAGTTGGCGGAGCCTGTTTTGGAAGACCGGGTTGAGGTGATACATTTACTTATTGGTTTATTTATGATCACAGTCTGAGTCCAGCCCATCAGCAGTGCACCAAGCTCCCCGACACTTGTGGCTCGCCCCGCCCAGTGGCCAAGCCACTGTTGGTTAAGTGGGAGACGCTCAGGCCTCTGTTGTTTGGATTCGGTTTCAGGCAGTTTCTGACAGGTGCTACCCAGGCCTCCACAGGTCCTATCGGATTCACTGGGTCAATGCTTCTGTTATCCCCATTTTTCAGAATAGGAGAAGTAGGGAGAGACTTGCCTAAGGTCACACATTACATAGAAGAACTAGGATTTGAAACTAGATTTGAGTGATTTTTAGAGGCCCTATTTTACACAATTCTTTTCATTAACTTGCTTTTAATCCGGATTTTTTAGTGATTATTGAATACACAAAAATGAGCAGCAAACATGCAGGACTCAGCCGGGCGCCGGTGGCTCACGCCTGTAATCCTAGCTGAGATCTGAGGATCGCGGTTCAAAGCCAGCCCGGGCAGGAAAGTCCGTGAAACTCTTATCCTCAATAAACTACCAGAAAATCGGAAATGGCGCTATAGCTCAAATGGTAGAGCCAGCTACTGGCCTTGAGCTGAAGAGCTGAGGGACAGCGCCCAAGCCCAGAGTTCAACGCCCATGATCGACCCAAAAAAAGCAGAATTAGTGCCATGGCTTAACTGCCACCCAAGGAAGAAAGCTGAGTAAGCATGAGACCCTGAGTTAAACCCAATTCCCAGTACAGGCAAAAAAAAAAAAAAAAAGAAAAAAAAAAGAATGATTGCCAAAAGAAAGGATTTAAATTCTTGTATTCAAGAATTAAGGGATTCAAATTCTTGTATTCCTATTTTCCTGACATACACCTCTAGGGTTAAAGAAAACATTCAAGGAGGAAACTAAGAATTCCTAGATGGAATCACACAAACCTGAGACTCAGATCTTGTTGGAAAGAAGTTTGGGTGTGGGTGATGGAAATTTGCTGGGGTCTTGGTGGTCAAGAGCTTTCCCCCTAGGAATTCTTACACAGATGGTGTGTATTCTGTAAAGTGAATTCTGTAAAGTGTTGCCCACGTTACTGGCAGCCACATCAAAAAGGAAAACTAAGCATTCTACAACCAGGAGGAAAATCTCTATTCTCTCAGTGTCCCTCCAGTGTCCTTTATTAACAAGGATTACTGGCAATGGAGAAACAGTATCCCAAAACAGTCAAAGAAGGGTAGATTCAGATCTGAGAGGCAACGTATTTCATCTGTAACATTATATACTTTGCTACCAAGAGGAAGTCTAAACCATTTACTTGCTATGTCTATTTCTGCTAATGTTCCACACAGAATATATGCAAGCATATATAATTGTATAGCTGCATCTTTATAACTTTTCAAACTAAACACACTAAATGCATTTATTCTTTAACCAAATATATTTGCCATCCTCCTATTTCTATTTTGAAAAATGATAGCTACGAGTTCTTAAATAGTTCATAGTTCTTACAGGCATCTTAATTTGTAGACTTTATAAAACTTTCAAGTATTTTAAAGCCATATGATTTTGCAAAAGATGCAGTAGCAGAGATTAAACTTCTCACCTTCCTATATCCTCTCAAGTAGTAAAGATGTACTTACAGCTTGCAATTTCCTGTGAAATAAAAGAGCTTAGGGAGTACTGACTTCTAAGAGCATTAAATCTAGTCCACACTGAGCATCAGTTCTCTACAGTGCACTAGTGTTCTATGGAGTTTCTCCACAGTACTTCTTGGAAGTTCTACTAAACTTACTAATTTGGAATACACCAAAATCTACAGTTTTTATATTGCCTCTGATATTTAGAATTTATTAGAGTCTTTTTCTCCCCCTCTTTGATATCCTCTATCTTTTGTTTAATTGACAAGTAAGGGTATCATACCATTGACTTCCAATACCATATCAGATCCAATATTATGCTTATTTGCAAGAAGTATCTTCTCTTATACTTGGAAATTACTTATGCCAAAGACTAATGACGGAAATGCTGATGTTCTATAGAAAAAAATACTACAATTTATATGAAAAACTCATGTCTAAAAGGTAAGCTGTTTTAAATTTTAAAAGTGTGTTGTATATTGCTTTACTTTGCTCTGTTTTAAAGTCAGCCATTTTTCTGCTCTTACAAAAATTCACTGAAGTAATTCATCCTTGCCTCCTTTAAAATATTGTCAAAAAGGCTTGAGAGTGAGAATTGCTGGGAGACTACACAAAAAAATCCTTACTTTTGTTCAGGTACAGAAGATGGTTGTATCTATTGTGGCCAGGTAATGCTTATTGAATATTTCATGTTTTAAGAAGCATATGTCTTTCTGATGGGACCAGTCTGACAGATTAAAATCATGCTGGTGGAATTAAAAATGTGATGAACTTAAGTGTAGTATCTTAGGGCCGCTATCACTTGAGTAAATGAGAGCACTATCATTTGCATTGGAAAGAATAATGCTGTTTTTTGTGTAAATTAGTAATTAAGGCAGCCATAACAGATTATGTAAAGTAATGTCAGTTTACATTTCTTTTATGATTTCCCTTATTTTGAGATCAGGATAAAGAGTGCTTTGAAATCCAGATTATTTATATTTTCAATTATCTATGTTTCCAGAGACAAGTGTGGACTATCTATATTATTTATCTATGTGGACTATCTATATTATTTATCTATCTATATTATCAGATTATTTTCCTTGGTTTCTCTGATCTGTCACTGTTTATTAAAACTTCTATCATGAAGTAGAGGACAGAGGAGAAAGTCTGGGAAGTCTCTATCACTCAGTTGTTGCTGGAAGAGAAAGATTGAAATGACTGTCCTGCTCTACCTTGCCTCCTTTTCTTTTGCCTCTTCTTCATGTACCAGTACCTCTCTCTCTTCTTTCTCACCTTTCATCTATCAGTCCCTTTCAATCCCATACAAAATGATCTGAGCCCAGCACTGAGAATTTAAACAAACAACAAAACACAACCAAATGCTTCCTTGTTTAGATGAGGTCTGGGCTTCTCTTTAGAAATTAGAGATGTCTCTACTTGGTCTGGAGAAAAGCAGTAGATAAACCAATAAAATGGAACTGCAAAGATAAAGAACCCATTGTATAACAAAAGCAAATATTAAAAACAATCTGTCATCCTGCCCTCCCAAGGGAAGACTTCACACTGCAGCATTGGTGGGGCTGAGATGCCAGATGGAACACAACTAATCCATCGCCATTCAACCCTCTCAACTCCACTCTGCCACATGTCTGACTTGCTTGTGTAGGAAATTCTCATCTCAACCAGAGTGATGACAGGAGATAAAATCTATAAAACTTGGAGCAGCCTAAACTTTTCCTTGGTATTCTTACTTATTTACATGTGGCCCCAGCGATGGATGAAATACCTTTACCCATGTAAGGCAGGTGGACATTGCTCACCTCTTTCTCTATTCATTTCTCTTCTTAATTCTAATTATCTTTCTTCCCTAATATATAATGATTATTTCTGGGTGCCAGTGGCTCATGCCTGTAATCCTGTCTACTCAAAAAGCTGACATCTGAAGATCCCAGTTCAAAGCCAACCCAAGTGAAGATAAGTTAATGAGACTCTCTGATTAACCAGCAAGTCTAGAAGTGTAGGTGTGGCTCAAGTGTTAGTGACAGTCTTGAGCAAGACAAAGTTAAGCAAGTGTAAGAGGTCCTGAGATCAAGCCTGAGTACCTGTGTACATGCATGTGCTCACGTGTGCACACACAGACACAGACACACAGACACACAGACACACAATATAATAACTCTTGTCAAAGTCCAGCTTTTGGTTTCTTGGTTTCTTCCCTTGGTTGCTGTTCCTTCTCCATTCAATGTCCTCAAAAACATACAATCAGAAACGTAACAAACACGGGAGAAATACTAATATGTTTCAGGCACTAGAAATACAATGGCAAGCAGATCAAAATAAAACTTGCCATCATTTTAGCAGAATTTAATAAAATTAATAAAATATATACTACATCAAACATAGGAGCTATGAGGGAAAATGAAAGCAAAGTAGAGGATGTGGGAGATGTCTGGGAAGTAGAGTTGCTCATTGACAGGAGTGTAGTCAGAAAAAACCCCAATCATTGACATTTGGGCAGAAACATGAAGAAATAAAGAGATCCAGGGAGATATCTGAAGAAAGGCTGTTCAAACAGAGGAGATAGCACTGTTCCTCTTAAGAAAAGCATCTGGTCCATGTGTTTGGTGAATCACTGAAAAGTGAATAGGCCAGGGCCAGAGTTGAGAGGAGGACATGAGAACAGAGAGGTAGAGGAATCTAAACCAAGGAGAGCTTTACGACACATTGAATGGATTCTGACTTAACTCTGGATGAGTTGGAGGAGGGGCAAGAACATGGCCTGGGCTGACTTCTGCTCTAACCTGATCCTTGACTACAGGGTTGAGAATATTGCAAGAGGGTGAGAATGGAAGCAAGGGCAAGTTGGGAGGTCATTTCAGTGATCTGGGCAGGAGGCAGTGAAGGCTTAGATGAGATAAGTAATTGGTTTTAAAAAGTAATCGGAGCTGTGCACTCATACCTACAATCTTGGCTACCCAGGAGACTAAGATCTGGATTATTACACTTTGAAACTAGCCAAGACAAAAAAGTCTGAAAGTGTCTGTACTGATCCAGAGAGTGAATCTAAAGAATCATCTTCACCAAGGCTTACCCAGACCCCAGGCTCCGTTGGTGGCTCCCTCACCCTTCCAAGTAAGGAACTGACCCTCTTTGTTCTTGCTCACCAAAGAACTTCAGGGTGCAACTAGAAAGGTGTGTAGTGATTGTTGTGTTGTTGACATCATTTTAGAAGAATTTAATAAACTTAATAAACTATATACTACATCAAACATAGGAGCTATGGGGAAAATGAAAGC